TTGTACAAGCTTCCTCGTTCATGAATTTCCTATGTTAATGAGCCACAGGTCCAGTCTCTATCCCTATAAGAGAAGCAATAATAATAATACATTATATAGATTTTGACACTTTACAAGGGTCTCCCTCATAATTATCCTGTGAGGTGTTGTTGTTCAGCCGTTTTAGTTGTATCTGACTCTTTGTGACCCCAGTTGGAGTTTTCTTGGCAAAGATACTGGAGTGGTTTGCCACTTCCTTCTCCGGCTCATTTTACAGATGAGGAAACCGAGGCAAACAAGGTTAAGTGACTTGCCCAGGGTTACACAACTAGCAAGTGTCTGAGGTCGGATTTGAACTGATGTCTTCTTGATTCCAGGCAAAGCCATAACTAGAACAAGTCTACTAGGACTTTGACCCACAGAATTGATAGGTAGAAGGTTCCCTTCATTACTTTATTTTTCTGGTTTGTTATGCCTGTGCCTTGGGTCCCTCACCAGCCTGTACCACATATTGTGACTTCTCCCTTTCCCTTTTCCAGCCCTGGGCTGCCACTCTCAAAGCCCTGTTGTCATGGCATCCTCTTTCTAGGCCCACCTTCCCAGTGCCCCTCTCCTGCTTTATCCCCTCAGGGGGTGTGGAATGGAGACAATTAGCTATGCTGATTCTCTATGGGATGGGCCATTCATTCTCCTATCAAGACTGTACCTGGGATGGTCTGTCTGCTGTGCTAATTCCTAGTTATACCTCTGGAGTTGGTAGAGCAAGTATTATTATCCTTATTTTAAAGATGAGAAAACCAAGACTAAGAAAAGTTAAATAACTTTCTTATTATGAATCAATTAATAAACATTTATTAAGCAGCCTCTTGTGTGCTAGGCACTGTTCAATGTCTTGGGGATACAAAAAGAAGCAAAAGACAGTCCCTGCCCTCAAGGAGTTTATGATCTAATGAGGGAGACAATATGCAAATATATACAAAGCAAGCTATATATACACAGGATAAATAGGAAATAATTAACAGAGGGAAGACATTGGAATTACGAGGGGTTGGGAAAGGCTTCCTGTAGAAGGTGGGATTTTAGTTGAAGCTAGAGAAGTTAGTATCAGAGCAGAGGAGGAAGAGCATTCCAGTTATGGGGAACAGCCAAAGAAAATGCCCAGAGCCAAGAGACAGAGGGTCCTGTTTGTGGAATATCCAGGAGGTCATAGTAACTAGATAGAAAAGTTTGTGCTGGGGAGGAAAGTATAAGCAGACTGGAATGGTGGGAGGGGACTAGGTTATGAAGAGTTTTGAATGCCAAACAGAGCATTTTGTATTTGACTCTGGAGGTGATAGAGAATCGCTGGAGTTTACTGAGTAGGGGGTAACATGTGCTGCCCTTACTTTACAAAAATTATGTTGGTGGCGGAATGGAGGATGGATTGGAATGGGGGAGAGACTTGAGGCAGGCAGACCCACTAGCAGGCTATTCCAATAGTCCTGGTGTGAGTGATAAGGGCCTGCACCAGAATGGTGGCAGTGTCAGAGGAGAGAAAGGGGCATATATGAGAGATTTTGCAAAGGTGAAATCGAAAGGTCTTGGCAACAGCTTGGTTATGGCAGGTAAGAAATAATGAAGAATCCAGTGTAACTCCTAGTTTGTGAGCCTGAGGAACCGGGAGGATCATGTTGTAGAATTAGGGAAGATAGGAGCATAGGACAGTTTGGGGGATAGATTATGAGTTCAGTTTTGGACATATTGAGTTTAAAATGTCTACTGGATATCCAATTTGAGATGTCTGAAAGGCAACTGGAGATGTAAGATTGAAGGTCAGCAAAGAGGTAGATAGGTTTAAGAATCATCAGCACAGAGATGGTAATTCTATTCATGGGAGCTGGTGAGATCACTAAGAGAAGTAGTGTGGATGGAGGAGGAGAGTCAAGATAGGAACCCTGAGGGACACCACCTATGGTAGTATGGTGTATGATCTGGAAGAGGATCCAGCAAAGGAGACTGAGGGGCAGTCAAATAGGTAGAAGAAGGTCTGGAAGAGGATCCAGCAAAGGAGACTGAGGAGCAGTCAGATAGGTAGGAGAAGAATAACAACAATCACAATAATAGCTAACATTTACATCATGCTATCATGTGCCAGGCAAGAGAGTATCAAGGAGACAGAGTGATCAGAAGTGTCCGAATCTGCAGAGAGGTCAAAAAGAATGAGGATTTAGAAAAGACTATCCCCATGATTTGGCAACCATGAGATCATTAGGAGCTTTGGAGAGAGCAGTTTTGGTGGAATGATAATGTTGAAAGCTGAATTGTAGGGGTTTAGAAGAGAGTGAGAGGAGAGAAAGCAGAGGAGCCTATTGTAGTTCCCTTTTTGAGGAGTTCAGCTATAAAGGTTAGAAGAGATATAGGAGGATAGCCACTAGGGATAGAAGAATCAAGTGAAGGTTTTTTTTTTTAATATGGAGGAGACATGGACATGTTTGTAGGCAATAGGGAATGAATTAGAATAAGCATGTGGATCAGAGTGCAGATGACAGAGGGGGCAAACTGTTATCACATAGCTAATGTCAGAGCCAAGACTCGAACTAGAATTTTCTGCTGCCATATGCTTTTTTCTTATATGCCACAAAGGTGAGGGAAAGTCACTACCATATATAGGGTTGGGGGCTGAATCAGGAAAACTTCATGAAGGATGTAGCATTTAAGTTGGTTAGGATCACAACTGGTAGAGAAGGAATTAGAGAGAGGAAAACAGGTATATGAACAAAATCAGAGAAAAGTAGAAGCCATGTTTAGGTCATGGATGGGTGTTTAGTTTAGCTTGAAGGAAATGGCAAACCACTCCAGTATCTTTGCCAAGAAACCCTCAAATGGGGTCACAAAGAATTGGAAACGACTGAAAAGTGACTCAACAGCAAAAAGAAAACATGAAAAGAAGTAGAATAAGATAAGGCAAAAAATGTAGGTTAGAATCAAATTGTGAATACCATAAAGCTGTCCGATTTTGCAGTGGTCAGGGTAACAAGGAACCAACCTCTATATCCAAACTGTAGGTGGAAGTGGAGGGAAATGAATATTGAATACAATTCAATCATATTTATGTCACTGAGTAAATGCTCACTTGTATTTCCTGCTGTTTGTAAACGTTCTCTAAATGAGGTCTGACCACTTGAATTCAGCAGGCTCCCTGCCTGACTCCTCCTCCCCTCCACACACATTTTTTAGGGATCCTAGGCATGTACACCCATTAAGAGTAACATATATAACGCTGTTAACTGCACAGTAGGGCACTGACTCCACCATCATGCTGAGCAGGAAGCCCATCATCTCTCTTTAGAGATGGACCCCTCTGAGGAGAGTTACAAACTGTTGCCAATGGGGGCAGCATGGACAAAGATGTGCTTTAGATGGAAATATGTTTTGCGTGACTGCACGTGTATAACCTAAGTCAAATTACTTGCCTTCTCAATGGTGGGTGAGGAAGAAGAGGGAGGGAGGGAGAGAATTTGGAACTCAACATTTGAAAAAAGAATGTTAAAATTGTTTTTACATGTAATTGGGGAAAATCAAGCATTAATTAAATAAAAAAAAAGAGATGCGCAGCCACCATTTGGTACCTCATCCACAGATTGAGAGAGAACTACTATTTCTTGGGCACGCCCAAATCAAAGACCAAATATTCTACAAGCTCTTCTTTCTTTATAATACTACCTGTTCTCCCTCTGTTTATGGTAAAAGAAAAATCACTTTTATGGAGACTCATTTGACAAAGCCCAAGCTTGGTCTCTGTGGGTGCAGGGTGACCTAATGGGGTCCAGGAAGCTTCACTCAAGTACTTTCTGAACACGCCCAGCTTTACAAACGGAGCCCTCTCAATATGCAGAATAAGACATACATTTTAGGACATTGCCAATTTGCTTGACTATGTATATGTGTTTTTCTTCTTTGTTTTCCTAGTGGAGGAGGTGGGAAAGCAAGGACAAATAGGGATAGGGCTGAATAAAAAGATGATTATTGAGACTTTCTTTTAAATGGAGAAAAAGAACAGAAGGAAAGTGAAGCAAGCAGGATAGCTTTGAAAGCTATGTTGATTTTATTATATACTTAAAAAGAAAAGCAAGTTGTGTGGTATATAGTGGAGATCTATGTCATGTTCAATCCTCTTTTTCTTACCTATTATGTATATGCAAATATCTATTCCATTTGATATTTAAATTTGGCATAAAAATTAATTAAAAAACAAGTGGGGCTGCACGATCAGGGTTTAGATAGGTGCTTTAGAGTCCTGGACTTGGAGTCAGTAAGACCCGAATTTGAATCCTGCTTCAGATATAATCATAATAACAATAATAATAAATAATAACAATAACTAACATTTATATAGCGCTTACTATGTGACATTGTGCTAAGCACTTTATAAATATAATTTCATTTGATACTCACAACAATCCCGAGAGGTAGTTGCTATTATTATTATTCTCATTTTACAGATGAGGAAACTGAGGCAGACATGTCTATCTGACTCACCCAGGATGACATAGCTAATAAGTGTCTTAGGCTGGATTTCAATTTAAATCATCCTGACTCAAGGCCCAACACTCTACCGTTCCACCTAGCTGCCCTAAGAGGTTAATTGACTTGCTAGGGCTCACAGAGCTGATATTTATTAGATGTGGGACTAGAATGCGAGTCTTCCTGACTTAAAGGTTGACCTTCCATCTACTGTGTCATGCTGCCTTTCATTATGTTGTTGTTATTCTGATTACTTGTAACTCAGCATGAAGTACAGGGCCTTGCATAGAACAAAGATTTAAAAAATATTTGTTGAATGAATGAGTGAAAGAATGAATGTATGAAAGAATGTGTTTTAGAGGTTTCTAGGTTTTCTACCTAGAAAAATTATGCTGACTGTGTTTAGTGATATTAGCAAATATATTGATAAGGAAATATTAATACTGTTTTTCACCTTTAACAGAACTGGTTTTTTTGTTTTTTAAAGAAAAAAAAACCAATGCTGTTTTTATTTTCAGAAATCCTCCACCTACTTTACTTCATCCGGAAAAATGGTGCTGGGGTTTCAACCACTTCATTTCACAGTGAGTATGTCTTCCATTAAAAATTGCTTATCCAGCGAGGCTTTAAAGAATAATTGGGGTGAAATCTAAACTGTGGAATTTACTTGGCATTCAGAGTTATTGTATAGACTAGTAGGTTACAGCACAGAATTTATTCTGGTAAAAGACAGAAGATGCTTCTGTGGGATCTGAAAAATAAGTAGTTGATCTTGACCTCGTCTCACAATTCGCCTTGTTAGATGCAATGAACCATATATATCTGAGAAGTTACTTTGACCCAGAGTAAGCCTGTTAACATTTTTTGTTTGCTTGACACTCTATGAAGACTTGATACCTGAAATTTGTCATACACATTGGAACTTCCTGTTGGGGGAAGGGAAAGAGTGGCAGTTCTTTGGAGAATTGTTAAATAATAGTGGTATAGCCTGCAAAAAAAGATTCCTTTGGGTTTTATAATACAACACAGAGCCCAGGCCATAGCAATAATTCCTTTTAAATCTTCATTTTATAAGTTTTATTTTTCAATGAGAAGTTGTACTGGGTTCAGAGGAAAAAAGACCTGGGTTTAAATTCTGCCTCTGATGCTTATTAGTTATGTGAACCTGGGCAAAGTATTTAATCTCGATGTACCTAGAGAAATGCTTTAGGACTCATCTACTGAGCCATGGAGGGGTTGTCACATTGGGAAGTTATGCTGATGAAATCACAACTCCTTTGGGTATTTACCTTTTTAAAAATCAGCAAACTATTCACTACAAAAATGAAGGTAGTAAAGCAGCTGAATGTTCCATTAGCTAATTTATTCATGTGAAATGGATTCAACCAGTGAATAGTTGAAACTAAATGATAATAATAATAATAACAACAACAATAACAATAACACATTTACACTGTGTTTTAAGGTCTACAAAGTGCCTTTTTCACAGCAACATTATGACAGAAGTATAAATAGAGTCAAAGGGTATAGGTTCGCATCTTAGATTTGTCATTTAACTACTTGTTTGATCTTGGGGCAAACCATTAATGGATTTCAAATACTTTGCAAATCTTAAAGTCCTTTTAAAATGTGTACCATTATTTTTTACATATGTATTAACGCATTCTATATTTATATAAATGTGTACACTATATTTAAAAAATCCTTAACATTTGATAAACATAATTATTAGTTTAAAGTTATTGATATATTTTGTTTTCTATCACCTTTCTTTCCTAATGTATTCTTCCCTACATTTCTCTATCCAGTGAGTCATCCCTTATAACACAATTTAAAAGGCAGAGGAAAAAAAGTAGTTCATTAAATCTAGTCAATACCAAAGTCAAATCGTATGATACATGCTGTCACTCACCTCCAAATACCCCCACCTCTGAAAAAAGGGAGAGTGATGCATTGTCTTATCTCTTCTGTGGGGCTAAGCTTGGTTATTACAATGATATAGCTTTCATTTAATATATTTGTTATTTTTGTTCTTTCCATTTATATTGTTGTAGTTATGTGTATGTTATTTCTTGCCTGCTTTCTTTACGTTTTATCAGTTTTTGTGTCTTCCCATGTTTCTGACTAGTCTTCATATTAATCTTTTCTCATAGGCATTGTACTCATTGGCTGCTAGAATATAGGCCTTGATGGCAAGGAATGTTTTTGTTTGTTTTTTTCATTTTATCCCCAGTGTTTAGCACATCTCCACGTACATACCAAGCACTTAACATATGCTTATTGATTGATTGACAGCCATGGGTAACTGTTTTGTTTCTAGTTCTTCACTACCCCCCAAAACACTGTTAGAAGTATTTTGGTGTATATTATACCTTTCTTTCTAATTGACCTCCTTGAGATATGTGTTTAGCACTGGGATTTCTGGATCAAAGGGTAAAGACAGTCACTTTTAATCTTATTCTTAGTATAATTCCAGATTATATTCTAGAGTTTCTAGAGTGGAAATTGCATTTCCGCCAATAGTATATTAGTCTGCCTGCCTTTTTACAACCCCCAACACTGATTATTCTCATCTTTTGTTGTTTTGCCAATTTGTTAAATGCAGTTTGAAACCTCAGAATTGTTTTGATTTGCATCTCTCATATTACTGGTAATTTGAAGCATTCTTTCATATGGGTATTATTACATTGCAATATAAAATTCTTTTGAGAACTGTTTACATGCTTTGACCACTTAACTAGGGAATGACTTTTGGTGTTATGTGTTTGTGTTATATATCTTGGTATGTCTTGGATGTTAGACCCTTATGAGATATATTTGGTATGGATTTTTTTCCTAATCAGCCCCATCTAACAACATTAGTTAAGTTGAATTTATTAGTGAAAAATATTTTTAATTTCATGAGGGACAGAGCTGGGTTGAAGAGGAAGAAAAGAATCTCAAAAGGAGTATAAGGGTGATGGTTGAGAATGAGAGGGAGAGCAAAGCCATCCTTCACCTGCTGCATACTTTTGCCCACATCTGTCTACACAGCCCTCATGCCCATGCACAAAGAAACAGAGTAATTAACTGTCTCTTGGTCTTATTTTTTGACTTACTTACAGTCTCTTCACTCTACATCTATAGCACTTAGATTGACAGCAAAAGGCTAGATCTACCAAAACCTTCACCTGGGGGTGCTAAGAATATCTAAGTCTGCTGAATACTGAGTTTGAGGATGGCTATCTTATGCTTAAAAGAAATTTATCTTCAGAATCATTGTCTTTTGTTTCAGTTTGGGAGTGGTAGGATTTTTTCTTTTTTTTCCATCTTGGGAACAGTGTCTCCTAATGGGTTTCCTAATTGGTTCTTATCTTACCCTCACTTTAAGGCAGGCAAGTCTACACGCTCTTTAAATAAACAGTGCACCTACATGAAAATCCAGAATTACCAAAAATATAAAAAAGAAATTCATCAATCACTTCGTGAAAGGATTTTTTTTCTGGACAAAAAATATTAACAATAGGATTCCATTAGGATTGTGGATCATAGAATTATATATTTAGAACTGAAAGGGACCTTAGCAACTCTTAGTCCATTATCATTTGATTTAACAAAAAAACATGGACTTCCATATAGCTTTTCAAGAACACAGAATTATAGAATTACAGAACACAGAATTATTAGATGTAGATTTAGAAGTGACCTTTGATACCCTTTAGTCCAACCTCCTTCATCTTGCAGAAGAAGAAACTGAGACTCAGAGAGGGAAGTGAATTTCCCCAATTTCCTCAAATAGTAAGTGATTGAGAAGTGATTTGAATAGAAGTCCACCAACTCCATAGCCAGGAGTTTTTCTACTGTATTATAATGCTTCCTGGATCTGTTGAAAATGAGCTTCCCCTCAGCTGAGGTGGAGGTGAGTATGGGGGCATAAGGGTCACTGGGAAAAAGGGGATCCTTATTTACAGTGAGGGTGTGAGGCCATAGGTCACATTAGCACAATCCACAGAAAGTGACATCCTCACCTAGAAATCCCATTTTCTCACTCTTTCAAAGGCTGCCTTACTGATTGACCTTCCTAACCTGAACATTACTCAGCCTAATGAAAGCGATTCAACTTTATTTCTTTGATATACCTATTTAGCCTTAACTAAAAGTAAACTCTAGTCCACCCTAAGAGAATGCCATAGTTGGCTGTTATACTTAACTCACTATAATCTTTGCCCATTTACCTCTCCATGAGACACCCTTATTCCATGCTGCTTCTTCTCCAATTTATGCCGCAAGTCTAAGCAGAAACATCCTAGGATCCTGATGTCGTAGACTTTATTGAACATCTGTTCCCTTGCCTAGCCATGGTGAGCATGAAGCTGAACTAGAAAGTTTCCATGAAAAACAGACACTCTTTTCCCATAGTCTTATCTGAACAAATGTATTTTTTCTTTTAAAACAATTTTATTGATACCTTTTGTTTTTACATCACCTACGTTTCCAAATATATCCCTTTCCCTTTTTCTATCTGGGGAGTCATCCCTTGTACCAAAGAATAAAGATGAAATTCAGTTCAACAAAATTAACTAGCACATCAACCAAATCTAACAGTACATGCAGTATTCCCACACCTCCACACAGGAGGAAAGGAAGTACATTTTCTTTTTTTTTAATTTATTTTTAAAATGTATGGAATAAAACAAGCATTTCCATAACACAGTACAATAAACAAGATAATTGCATATGAAACCACAAATCCACTATGTACAACTTGCTATTCAAAGTTATATGTGTGTATACACACACACACACACACACACACACACACACACACACACATTTCATTTTTGTGCTGCTAACAAAGGATTACAAGGAAATGAAGAGGACAAGGGCAACCATAAATGTGTCTGACAAATAAGATTAAACCCATCAGGTGAGTAGCAGGAAGTTCAGTCAGGCTGCTCCCAAACCTACTCCCCCAACCTCAAAAATGTACTAGACTGACTCCTGATCAGGAAATCCAAGAAAAAATATCATAGTGAGTAATTTTTCTAGCCCAACTCAGCATAAGGAGATATGGTCACTGGGGCCAGGGATTTAGCCAGAGACAGCTGTGAGAGAGTGACTATGTATCACAGCAAAATGTCCCAAATTCAGGAACAGAGAGGCTTAAATTTGTTCAGGGTTCAGAAAGAGGTACAAACTGGCATCTGTGTCACTCATTGTGACCCAGTTTCAGGTCACTGATTCAGGGATGACTAAGGAAGCAACCTGTGCCTAGGGGTAGCATTCCAAGTGAGAAGGGGTGGCAGACCATAAGCTGTGTCCAGAGCAAGGGACAAGTTCAGAAGCAAGCAGTAACTATGTGACCTGAACCCAGGGAACAGAGTAGGGTCAAGCCCAGTCTGAAGCCTGCGATGGAATAAGCAGTGTAAGAATATCAGCCCATATGGGAACCTGTAGGTCTGTCACTTTGAATTAGCAGAGCTTTCCAGCTGACTGATAGTGGCTGAGTCCAGCAGCAGTTTACTGGAACTCCAAATGGCGCAAGTCCACAGACCTGTTGCTCAGACCTAAAACCAGATCAGGAACTTGCAGAGCTCAAACTAAA